CTATTAGCATGGCTTTTATTTTGGTTTTTGTTTTTTGTGAGTATACCACTGCACTCTAGACTGGGTGACAAAGTGAGACTCGTACTCAAAAATAATAACAATAATAATAATGGAAAATAACAAATGTTGATAAGGATGTGGAGAAATTCAGAAACCTTTGTGTGTTGCTGGTGGGAATGCAAAATCGTGTAGTGTGGTTATCTCTCAAAATATCAAAAATGGAATTACCACATAGTCAGCAATTCTACATGCAGGTATAAACATTGGGTATATACCCCTTCTTCTGCAGAAGTTCAAGCACTGCTCCCCTCTCACCCAGCACAAACAAATTGAAAGCAAGCACTCAAAGAGATATTTGTACACCCACGTTCTCAGTAGCATTATTCACAATAGCCAGAGGGTGGAAGCAGCTTAAGTGTCCATCAGCAGGGGAATGGACAAATCAAGTGTGGTCTATCTGTACAGTGGAATATTATTAATTCTTAAAAAGGAAAGAAATTCTGACACATGCTACCACTTGGATGAGGCTCGAGGACATTATGCTAAGAGAAGTAAGCCGGTCACAAAAGGACAGATACTGTATGACTCCACTTGTCACAGAAACAGAAAATTCAGAGAGAATGGTTCGTGTATAGTGTGTACAGAGTTTCAGTCTAGGAAGATGAAAAAGTCCTGTGATATATGGTGGTGATGGTTGCACAACAATGTGAATGTGCTTAATGCCACTAAGAAATGGTTAAGACAGTAAATTTTATGTTATGTATATGTTACCACCAAAAAATAAAATGGCTGGAGTTCAAAGAAGGAAGGGAAATTGCCCAGAAGTAGTGATTACGGGCGAGGAGACAGGGTCCTGGGAGAGGTTCAGGGTTCCGTTCCAGAAGTGGAGGAGGATGTCATGGGAGAGGTGGGGTAAAATTTGCCATGGACAGACGTGGGAGACTGGAGAGAGGTGGAGCAGGGTCAGCTGAGAGGGACAGGGTAAGCAGCGTGGGGCCACAGAAGAGTGGACCAGAGCAGATGTTGTCAGAGATACGTAGAAGGAAGCCCGTGAACTTGGCGGCTGAGGGGATGTGGGCACAGGGGAGAAGAGCCATGCCCAGCAGCATCCCAGGTAGTAGTTTCTAGCTGGGCGATCTGGTGAACGGTGCCAGCTCTCCCTAGGATGGAAAATCCTGAGAGGGCACCAACTTTTAGTGTTGGCCATGGTGAGTGCAAGGGCCTTGTAGGACACTCAGAAGGGATGTCCAGGAGGGACAGGATGCCCAGGTCTGGACTGAAGTCAGAGATCAGGGGGAAGTCAGGGGAGTACAGCCGGACTTGAAGCAGAGAGAGAAAAATAAATGGCTGAAGGTAAGGACCTGGTTCCCACCGACGGCAGCAACTATACTTAGCTTGGCTGAAACGTAGGGGAGCGGCCAGGATGGGGTGGGGGTGAGGGAGGTGGTATCTGAAGTACACACACACACACACACACACACACACACACAAGATTTCTCAGAATACAGGAGGTCATAAGAATGTTCACAGGCTGAAAGAAAAGGGCCGGAGAAAAGGGGCCTCCATATACAGGGAGCTGGAGGGTGGCCTAGCAAGGAGCTGCGAAGAGGAAGAGTTGAGGAAAGCCTCAGTTCCTCTGCAGGGAAAAACGGTGCCAACCTGGATAGCCCCCTGGAGGAGAAGTGCCCTCCCCCTGCAGAAGTCCAAGCACTGCTCCCACCCCACTCAGCACCCACCACCACAAAGGCCTGTGTGGTGTGGTGACAATAAGGAACAAAGAGTGTGCCTTCTATGCCCAGAGAATCCTTAAATAAAAGATGCCATAGCCATGCAAAAGATGCTGTCTCCATGATGACGATGACCTAGAGGTGGGTTCACTCACAGGGGGGAAAGGAGGTTCCAGGAGAATGTGGGATCCATGTGATCCTGTTTGGGTATGAACAAAGGAGACATGGCCTGTGAGGGGGTGAGGAAGGGGTGCAGGAAAGACAGTCTTGCTTGATATTGGCATGGAGGAAAGGTTTTATTTTCTTCTTCCTGCTTGTCCGAATATTCTAATTTTTCACAACAAAAATGATTCATACCTTATGTAGTTTTGTTGCCTTAAGTTCTACATGCTGAAAATAAGATGACAATCTCCCACCCAAGAGGAAGAGTGCATGGGCTCCACCAGATCTGGTCAGGAAACCCAACCTGGTGGCTGCAGGACTCCCACTCACCCTGGAACCCTTTACCCAGCTGGGGGTTCAGCTGGTGAAAGTGTGCAGAGGAGGCAAGACACGCCCAGGGCTCCACTGGGGAGGCAGGGAGCTCCCAGAGAGGCTGAGGCCCCTGTCTGGGTTCCAGGCTCCCATGAGAGTCCTCACTGAGCACCCGCCAGGTGACCCCACGGGAGCAAGCAGGCTCCAGAGCAGGTGTGAGTTCGGGGAATCTGAACGACACCTTCCTCTGCTTTCTCTGAGCCAAGCCGCAGAGGACTGGGGAAGCTGGCTGTGATGGGATCTGGGTACACCTCCCAGCCTCCCTGGGCCTCACGGGATGGCGAACCCCCAGAGGCTTCCCAGAGAGAAGAATTGGGCGGTGTTGGGAGAGAACAGGACGGCCCTCTGTGGACTGAAGGGAGACTCGGTCTCCCTAGGAAGCCTGGCCAGCCTGGCCATGCAGAGGACATAGGCTAGCTGAAGGCAGGCGTGGGGCATGAAATAAGAGCCGTCACACTCTCTGTCGTAGAGCTGAGGAGTATGCTTAGGGGTCCAATACGTAAACAAGGTGTGTTTCAACCATCCTTCAGCCATTTTCTTGGCTTTTCCTGCATGGTTGCTGCCACTTCTGGTGTTGTGACTCTTTTTAAAGGACACAAACCAGGGGGAAGTGACTCATGCCTATAATCCCAGCACTTTGGGATGCCAAGGTGAAGGATCACTTGAGTCCAGGAGTTGAGACCGCTTCAATAAGTGACGGGTTTTTGTTGTTGTTGTTGTTGCTTTGTTTTTTGAAAAAGCAGGGTTTATTGGAAGGACAGAAAAGCTCCCACAGTGGGAGGAGACCCAAGGAGGGGTTGCCCGACAGTTTTTCTGAAACAGTGTTTCTGCTCTGACAGTTGACATTCTTTGTGGTTTGGGCGAAGGCCCCTGTGTTTGTGCCCCACTGACTCCCTATGATGCGGCTTCTTTTAAAAGGAGGGACCAGAAAGGATTAGGTGGGTGCTAAAGACTCCGCAGTACCAAAAGGACACTCTCCTTGACCGATGCCAAAGGGCTGAGTAGAATTAAAAGCTAAGTCTGTCTCCCCACCACCACCCTCACCACAGGATTCTCAGCTGGTGGGAGCTGCCCAGCCCCTACCTCTGTGAGGCAAGCAGGATAGTTATGATTTCCACTTGATAGATAAGGAGACTGTGATTAGAGGGAGCAGCCGGAAGAGCCTTTCATCTCCGGGGTCTCCTCCTTCCAGAAGCCGTCTCCACCCCTTGCGAACAGGTAAGAGGCTGCCTCGGCTCTTCACAGCCCCGATCCTGAAACCCCTCATGGCACCAGCAGTGCAGCGAGATCCCTTCCATCCACTGGAACTGACTCGTGGCGCGGTGCCCAACACTCCAGGACCCTGAGGCCTTCTGCCTCTGGAGATAGGACCTCCGGAGCTGCACTGGGGGATAAGCCAGGCTCTTTTCATCATTTCCTTCCTCCGCTCGCACAGCAGCCGTTTGGCTGTCTCCCCTAGAACTGCCTCCGTGGCCTCAACCGGGACAGGTCCGGCCAACAAAGAGGTGCCCGACCGAAGGCCTTGCAGGTAAGCAGCCCTCTTTATTACACAGCACAGCCTCGCACTCAACAGCCCCTGTCAGGTGGAGTATGAAACAAGGCCTGGCATGGAGGGAGGATACCAGCTCCTGTCCCCTCTAAAAGCCAGGGCTGCGTAGAGGTATACTCTCTCTCCTACTGAGCCAAGATCTACTAGTTTATTCGATGAGTATTCCTTGGAAGCCTGCTCTGGGGAGGCCCTGGTGGGAAGAGCTCTCTTTGGGAAGGGGAGCCTCCCACCCCAGTCCTGGAGGCAAGGTAGTGAACCAGACAGAGCCTGTGTCTCATGAGACGGACACTGCGCGGCCCTGGGCTTTTCCTTCTCTGGGTCTCATTTTCACCAACTCCAAGCATGGGCTCCTCCGGATTCTCTTCTCAACCCCCAGCCAGGACCCCCACCCTGCTGTTTTCTGCATCAGGTATCACAGAACAATTCACTTAGCCATGGTCAAGGCGTCAGGAACTGATCAGACTAGGTGGTCTGTGAAGTCCACACAACTGGCCTGAGCCTAGGCTTAGGCATGGTGGGCTCCCTTCAAGGCCCTTTCCTGGTCTCTGGGGGCCGGGGCTGGGAATCAGTTAGCAGCCATCTGTTCTTTCTACCCACGAGCAGGGGCCAGGGCCTCTGCTAGGAGACGGCCCTTCCCCTCCAAAAACAATTTTTTTTGTTTTTTTGAGTTGGAGTCTCACTCCTTCACCCAGGCTAGAGTGCAGTGGCATGCACGCTCACAGCCACTACAGTGTCGACCTTCTGGGCTCCAGCGATCCTTCTGCTTCAGCCTTCCGAGTAGCCAGAATTTTTTTTTTTTTT